GCGCGTATATATATACAGTAGGCTTAAAGATCGAAAAATTCGCATACTTACCGTATAAATATACATTGAAATTTTATTGATAACGTGTTTCAATTCTATTAGAGAAATATCATTATATTATAATTCAAGGTTTGATTTAAGGTTAATATTAAGATAAATTAATTTTATAATTGTTTATGATGTCGGAAGATTTAGTCTATTATTAAATATATATATTAAAATAAGAAGATTTGGTTATTTATTAAACTATTAATCAATAAATCCCCAATTATTACCTTAAAAGCCACTATTGTAATGGTTTTATCCTTTTTTTTCTCGCTTTTAAGCATTTATTATAGTTAAATATAGCTGTTATATAACCGTTACTACACTTATATACCAACTTATATCTTATTTAACGTAGTATAATATTTAACGCGTTCTGGCGATCTTTATTAAGTTAAATATATAAAAAGGATAAAAAAGGAGATAATGTTGGATCCATGCGATTTCAGACTGCAAACCATCTATACCAGGACCCATATGTATGATTAGATAAGATAAGATAGTGGATTGAGAGGGCACTTGGCCAGACCTTCGAGTCCAGCTAGATTCCTCTCAATCCAACCATCAGCAACATCATGACCTTGACCCCATACTCGAGTATTATGATTGATCGTTCAAGCCTGTTCCAACAGATAAGGTATTTTAAATAAAGTTTAACTTTGTAAATAAGGCTTTACGCGTATATCATTTGACGTATAACGTATTGGCTTAAAATTATAAATATTATCAGTAATCAAAGTTTTCATAGATTAAGACAATTCTAACGTTTTATTTCAATAAGTTAAGCGGATAATACAAGGGCTTTGCTTTTTATTATATTTTAAAGTATTTAAATATACCTTTTTCTTTTCGGTTTAAAATCTTGAAAAAACCTCTTAGTTACGCGGAAGTAAATCAGGTCGTTTTACTAGCCTTTCTTATTCAAAGCTTTTGTAATATTAGCTATTTATAATATTTACTTAACTTACGGCGTTAAATGATACTATGTTACCTTTAAATATATCGCTTTACGATAATCAATCGGGTGTATTATTATTTCACGAAAATGTAATTGAAAGGACATACTAACTAATTATTATAAGGTATTTTAACGTAGCTGGTCTTATTTAATACTCGTATTAAGATTAAAACAATATTGTAAAAGCTGTTAAAACTTAGTTATAGCGTTTACGGTAGATTCACTTATATATAGGCTTGTCGTATTTATAAATTCCTTTTATAAATCTTCATTTTTTTATATTGTAATATACGCAGTTCTTTTAAACTGCTATTACACCGTGATCGACTTTAAAAGCGTGCTATACCCTTTCAAAATATACACACCGTTACTCTCGTATCAAAAACTAATAAAAAAAGTAAACCCATATTAAATATACCGTAGCATTACTAGTTAAATAAATAGTATTATAATAATATTTAAAAGATACTCGGGCAAACGAAAGGGTAGTGTTTTAAAAAAATAACACTATAATCTACTAATAACTTTGGTAATTATATCTTAAATATATTGATTAAAGATTAAAAATAAACGAATATGTTTGTATAACTATGTAAATATATCGAAAAAAGCTGGCTATTAACTCGATAAAAATAACGGTTATAAGTTAGCCATAATTAACGTATAAATCGTAATTATTACGTTTTTAAAAATAGGTCTCGTATTAAATAAAGTATATCGTAATAATTTTAAAGGTGTTAAAGTCTCGAAAAGAAGTATCGAAATAATTGAATCAAAAAAAGTATTAAATAAAACGGGTTTAATAATCTAGGTTTAAATATACTTATAGGCAAAATATTAATTATCTCGTCTTATAATAATGATGTTAAGTTATATTGAAAATAAAAAAAGCTTAGTTCAATCGAAAGTATTAAATTAATATTACCGCCTCAAATAAATATAGTAATTTAATATTAAGTTTATAAGCTAATAAATTTAAATAATTACGTCTTTTAAAAATTTTTATCTACGTCATTTAAAAGCATAAACTATTAGTCCACCGTGTCCTTATCGAAATAATGCCGATAAGAAAAGATTCGTTTAATCTACCGCTTTAAATAATAGTAACGATTTAACATCATGTATAAAACATGAATAAACCGAGATTATCACGTTCTTTAATGTTAAACCCGTTCAAAAAGAATTATATAAAGTAAAAAGAAGGAAACTATTTAATATACCGCTTTAAATAGGTCTAACGTTCTAGTATTCAATCTGATATATATATAACTCTAGATTATCACGTTTTTAAGTTTCGAAAGCGGATATTAAATAAAATCATTTAATTAAATAATGAAAAGAAAACGTTAAATAAAGAAATTAATGCTGTATTAAATGGCTTTAATAATCCAGAATTAAATATAGAATATATATATATTTAGATTCTTTAAACTTCTAACGTTAAATTATTAATAAAATCAAGGATATAGTCTTTCGTAATAATATATAGTAATATCCGACTATTAAACTAGTTTTAACGATCAAGTTTTGTATAGAATACTATATAATTTCGAATCGCTTGGTTTATAAATAAGGTAGTTAAAATATAGCCTGTCCAGCAAAAGCTATTTATTTAAAAAAGAAACACTGTAATAAAAATGCTTAAATACAGGTAACGAAGAGAGCTACCTAGCCCGGAAGGCTAAGACATAACATAAAAAACGTAAACTAGTAAATTTTTAAAATATATGTATATGTAGTAGTAATGGATAGTTTTATTTGAATATATTCGGAATTTTTAAAACAATCGGACTACTTCTCTTTTTTAGCTATAATTACTAGCTACGTTATTGATAATAACACTACTTTAGAACAATAATTGTTCCTCAAAAAGCGTCGTTTTATAAGCCGTCCTCCTCGTATTAAAATGATAATTAAATATAACGTACCTCGTACTACCTTACTTCGCGGATAGTTTACTTATTAATTATTAAAGTAATCTTAAAAGTATTTACGTAACGTCTTTACTAGTTAAGCTATAAACTAATTTATCTTTTTTACTATAAGTTTAGCTTTTTAAAGTATATTTATTAATAACTTACTATATAATGCTTAAATTTATATTAAAAGCGATAAGTAGTTTTATTAATAGGTTATTAATTTTCTTCCTATGAAACCGGGTTTTTAGTGCTTAGAAACGTCGCCTTTTTTAACTTTAAAAGATAAAAACGTATAAACCGATAAAAGGGAGCTATAAAGCTCTAAGTCGCAATGTTAATAAAGGCTAATAACGTAATAACGACGCACCGTCTTTTCACACCGAATTGAGCGTATATATAATGTGTTATTACCGCTTTCTATGAAGATTTAAACCTTAATAAATTTTAAAATAACGATAAAAATAAACAATTAGTTCTTATTTAAAATGCCGTCCTTTTATACTTTATTATCAACTTAATAAAGATTATTAAAATGCTTAGCTTTATATCGTAAACTTTAATTAACAAGGTTGTAAATAAGTAATTCGATAAATAAATTATAAGCAATATTAAACCTAAGTAATAATATTATCTCGTAATATAAAGTACGAATAAAACCCTTTCTAGTTATAAAATTCTCTTCTTCCGGGAGATGAGCTTTTACTATATTAAAACATATATGACAGATCTTTATTGCCTATTAAAAAGATATACAAGAGATGTTAAGACTGTTAGAAGACACATACCTGAAGGATTGGGCGTCAAGTCCATTGGAAGACGTAATAAATGCCATGAGGCACATCGAGGCCGAAACCGCACAGGACACTCTGGAGCATACAGGCCGTGAAACAGCTCGGGTTAAGGTCCTGCATCTACGACTCCTCAAGAATTTCGTCCAGACACATGGCTCATACTCTCGATCTCAGCGACAAGATTCTCCATGGCTAAATCGACATCATAGGTTTCAACGACCTCTGGAAATTACTCAACCCAGGAGATATCATCATCAGTCGCGAGGCAATTGGCGACGTTCCCTGAGCATATCAAGTCTTCTGTGTCACCAAAGGGCGTGCCCCACTGGGCACATATCACAAAACTCGCCCTTCTCGTAGTTTTTCTGCAACTCAATCGAAAGCTAGTCCCATACCAGAATCTCGTACGATTACTCTTTGTGGAAGATTGAACGGTCCGCGGCACAACTCGAGTACAGTTTCACACACGATGAACCCGTTGGTAATTGATTGCCTCCAACTATACTACGACGGGTGCCGAGCGTATCCTACATTCATTGTCCTCACGATCAATCCCTATCCGGGAAAGAAGCGTATCACGGAGTTGGAATATTTTCCTACGAGGTTTTGCGCAAATACCCAATACGTGGAAGATCTTCTATCCCGAGGTCGTCAATTCATCAGGTGTCGTTACGGCCATGGCACCTATGGAGGATCCAGCCAGCAGCAAGACACCGAGTATGTTGAAGGGGAAGTGTTCGTCGACTTCCGAAGCGGTCTCGAGACACCAGAATTTGGAAAAGATCCACCACCATCCTCATTCCGGCCGCGAGATTCTTCTAACGAAGAGACGTACGGTGTTGGGGAAGGTGTGAGATTTCAAAGTGTTCTATTGAAGGAGAGAAACCAAGAGTAGTTCCTGAAGGATGACTATGGATGGGCTAACATAGCCCAGAATCCAACAGAAGGCACTGGCTATGAAGATGAGCGAATTGATGTCAAGAGATGCGAGGCTTTTTTCGAAAGCGAGCAATGTTTGAAACCAATTGAAGACGATCAAATACTATCGATAGGGGATGACTTGGCGCTGTTACTGCCATCCACACTTCTAGGCTACGGGCTACGGAACTGAAAATGGCGTACGTCTAAATTCCTTCGTTGCTTGGTACTACGTATTGAAACCGATGATTGTTTCTAGACTACCTCGATGTTCACTTGTTCAGGCCAGTCTCTACCGACGTTTCGCGAAGACAGACAGCCTTCGATCGTCTGGTGATTCCCGACCCGTACAAGCACCTGCTAAAAGCTATGGTCAAGAACCATCTAGACTCAAAGGTGCCCAAGAGCTCCTCTTTGAAGTCTCGTGAGTTAGACATTGTTCGGGGGAAAGGCAAAGGGCCCATTATCTTGCTTTATGGGCCTCCAGGGGTTGGGAAGGTACATTATTGTTTGAGGTCTACGTACTTGGCCTGCGGCTCACACGCTACTGCAGACCAGCACAGCCGAGACGATTGCTGCCTATACAACACCTCCAAGGCCACTCTACCCGATTGTAAGTTCGCTGTAACAGTATGTCGAGTGAACTCAATGACTACTAAATCAGACTTGCGGTGATCTCGGGTCAACCGCCTCTGAGATCCAGGCACATTTGCAAGACCATTTCAAACTTGCCCATCGCTGGAACTGTGTACTACTACTCCACGAACCTGATGTATACCTGGCGGAGAGGAATCTCCAAGACCTCACCCGAAATGGTATCGTGTCTGGTAAGTCACTACTAGGGACCTCAAAGAGCTTACAGGAACTCACTTGGTCATCGCAGTATTCCTTCGAACACTCGAGTACTACTCAGGAATACTATTCCTCACCTCCAACCGCGAAGGATCTATAGACGAGGCATTCAAGTCACGCATTCACGTAGCTCTCCACTACAAGCCCATCAACCTCGCGGTAATCCGCAAGATCTGGTCTAACATGCTAGCTGGAATCGAAAATGACAACCAAGAATGCCAAGACAGATGCGCAATTGAGTTCAACAAGGACGACTTGATTCAGTGGGCCGAAGACCATTTCGACAAGCACGATCGCAAGACTCATCATACCAGATACGGCATCGACGATGTGACAGCCACTTGGAACGGGAGGCAGATTCGCGACGCCTTCCAGACAGCCATAGCGTTGGCCTCTTACGAAAGACTTGAGAAACTCGCAAGAAAAAACATATCGGAGGAGAAAGCGATGAAGAACCCAAATGGAACAAGATCAAGCTGACCCCCAAGCACTTCACCAAAGTTGAAGCCGTAGTCGATGAATTCCAATCATACCGTAAGACCCCCTACATACCTTACCCGGCCCATATCGTTATCGCTGAGACTATTCCCAGTGGAAGGGGTGAGAGGCACATCGGACGAAGTCCGAGCACGCAATGAGAATCTCCGAGATGATCGTTGGGGGACACCATCCGCAGCAGCCAGATCTGCCTATCCAACTGCCGCCGACGAGAAGCCAAGGCGAAAAGAGGTAGGAAAGGACAAGGGTCCAGCATCGGCAGCCACCGAGCGCCGGAGAGAGAAAGCCCCTATTATCAGCCTCGACAAGGCATACGGAGATGATGTAGGACGGGATGGAGGACAATCTGAGGATCTCTGCAGCGATTCGGAAGATGACGACGACGATGACGATGACGAAGATGATGACAAAGAGGACGGCGAAGAGGATGACTCGGAGACCGCTGAGGCTTGATAGGTTTCATTGCAGGATAGGGTCTCATCAACAGGGGTCGCACGTTTTCTTCCTTGGCCTATTTGAGACTGTGTTCATTCTACCATCATATCATCAGGTTTAGTCAGTGGCCAAGCTTAAAGCCGACGCTGCAGCCTCACAAAAGACCATGGAGTATGAGAATTGGTCTCGAGGTCTGTTTCGCTTGATTGTTTCATCTCATCTCGTCTCATGCTCCGGCTTCATATGTGCTTGAAAGAGTGAGACTACGGTATTCAATGCAGTGGCAATAGAGATCTTCCTTTCTTACTTACAACATCAGGACTTCGGGCGCGACAACGTCTACCTTTGCTAACAATACTAACAATACCCTCCAAACCGTCTTCTGTACCCGCCTGCCTCTCTCGCTACGCATCAAGTCTGACTGGGGCTTCACTCTGCACCCTGACAAGTACCAACCATGAGATTCCCTGCCGATTGTGAGAGCATGGACCAAGGGCCGACTCCCCTGCTTCCGCAGTTCTATTACGAGCAACAGCACCCGTCTGGGTATGCCCCCTTACTCATTCCGCCGAAGTCCTGTGGTGCACCAAGCGGGATTGACGCAGTTGACCACAACCTGGCGGCGCTCGGCCCCGGTCGTGGAGCTCTCCGAAGCATATATAGCACATAAAAAGCTTGCTCAGGGCGTGCCTTGACTTCATATCGGCAGTTGTTTTCGGGTCACATAGGCCGTCGACCACGTTCGTATCCTCTTCGGGTACTTCGAGCTGCGCTTCTGGTCCGAAACAGTGGACGGACTATGGGGCCCGACAATCGTCATGGTTGCTTGGACTCTGGTGGTAATGGAGGTCTGCCTCAAATTAGGCAGAACAGCAATCGCAAGGAGGAAAGCAGAGACCACGCTCGGGTCGGTTTGAGTACTGGATGGGTCGTTACCAGATATATCCACGACCGCCTCGCTTCCCAAGTACGGCACAGAACTCGCCGTCGAGGCCAACATCAGGCATGTTGCCCGTCAACACTATGCCGAACCATCCTCCTATTCATCTCCCAAGCCACACCACCACCGCCACCACGTCCCCTCCCCTCCCCTCTCTTCCCCCGACCCCAACCCCCTTCACTTCTGAGCACCAAACTGCCTCGCAACCTCATCCGCAAACTCCCCAATCGTATCAAACCGCCACTCAAAGCTCGTCTTCCCCCGCATCTCGTCCGTCAGCCCCCCAATGCCCTGATGACCCTCCCTCTCCGCGCCGCGCGAGATCCACACGCTTCTTAGCCCCAGCTCCTTGGCCGGGACATGGTCCGCGTACAGACTGCACGCCACATGCAGCAGATCGCCCCCTTCAAAATCAACCCCCAGGTCTTGTTTCGCGTGGCTGAACAGGTACTCGAAGTTTTGGAGGGCGGGCTTGTAGTTGCCGATGTCTTGGGCTGTGTACATGGCGTCGAACGCCACGCCGTCTGGCCAACCCCCTAGCTGCTTCGAGGTGGTAGAGGCGATGTTGGTGTTATCGACGTTGCTGAGGATGATGAGCTTGTAGTGCTTTTTTAGAACCTGCAGGCCGGCGATGGTGTCGGCGAACGGCACCCAGGTCCCCGGGGAGGCGCCGAAGGCGGACAAGGCGCCGGGGGACGGGGGTGGGAGGCTGAGCTCCGCAGCCAGTTCGGCGAGCGAGGTGGTTAGGACCTCCGGGTAGGGCAGCGTGGGTTGCGCGCGCTCGTGCGCGCTGGTTAGGGCGTTGAGGCGGCGGAGCGCGGCGTGCGGCGGGTTGGTGTTGTAGGTGTGGGATGCGGGCAGTTGGGTGGTTAGGGGGAGCAGGTGCGCGTGCATGCCGAATTCCCAGTCGATGAGCGTGCCGTAGCAGTCGAAGCTGGGATGGGGCTGTGTTAGTCCAGGCGTGCGTCTTTGAGCTTGGGGTTGGGAGGGCATTTGGATGCCGTACCTTAGACCGTTGAAGGTCGTGAGGTTGGGGTATGAGGACGACATGGTTGGTTGCTCGTGTCTGCTTCTATTTTCAAGATGGAGGTCGCCCGTTTCAAATAGATATGTTACAATTACTCTTGTAATCCAATGTTCACAGCTCGAAGCTGCCGTCTTATATACACGAGCCTAAGGACCCCTCATTGCCCATTTGTATACCGCAGAGGTGGGGAGAGGGCGCATATGCTTTATGCAACCGCAGCAGGGCGCATCTCCAACATTCCCAGCATCTAATTAGGTAAATCGAGCGACTCCATGCATCTTGATTGGTGAGTTCGTTCACCGGCGACGATCTCACCCAACCCGGCTCCGGTGCCCTGCCGCGTGCAGAAGGGCGCGCTTGACATCTGATCCACCGACACGCCGCGCGGAATGCGACGGTCGGTCTGGCCTTATGCCGTGTAGATCCGATCGAAGCTGAATTGACAGGCAGCGAGGTTGTATCCTGGTATCAGAACCATCTCGGGGAAACCCTATAATACACTTGACATGGTTCGAAATCAATGGGTAGGTAGGTGCTTGCTGATATAAAGGGGTAGCATAGCACTTCGCAGTCCCGTAGAAAGCAGACGCAGCAACGCAGTCAATACTCCAAGAGACCAAGTACGGAGGTCGTACGTCCATCGAAGTCGGGAATTGGACCTCGCAGTCTTCGAATTCGACCTGGTGTTGCGTTTGCCGAGCGGATGGGCTCCCATACTCCCAGCTAGAACTCCTGAACGGAGCCCCCCCAGACCCTAATCATCATTTAAATCCAGATCCCTCCCGCCCCGTGTCCAAATCACTACTCCCGGACCCCCTCCTCACCCTTCCCCGTCCTGCCCGTCTCCGCCTGCTTCTTGGCTCCTCCGCCACATCCCCCGCCCGCCAGCCCTGCCTCACCCGAATCGGCCTGAGGAAGCCATCCACATGGACAGCGCCATACATCTCGTCCTCGCTATCCACCTCGTCCAGCCCCATCCCCATCATACCCATCATGCCCATGTCTCCCATGTCTCCCTGGATAGAGGTCCCCTCTTCGTAACCATGCACAAGCTTCATATGCCGCACCAGGTTGGTCTTCCGCGCGAACGCGTCTACCGCGCGCGGACAGTCCCGGAAGGCGCAGAAGTAGGAGGTGTTGGTTATGGACGCGGAGCGTGATCTGCTGCTGCCCGAGACGGAGCGGCCGCGGCCGCGAGATTCGTCTTCGGACTTAGGAGGCTCCGCGCTCAGGGCGCGCGAGCGGGACTGGGACCGCCGGAGCGCGTTTCGGGCATATCTAACTTCTTCTTCTTCCTCGTCGTCTTCGTCTTCCCGACCGAGAAGCGGCACCGACGCCATGCCCGGCTCGTACCGCGTAATGCGTTGTGCTTGCGGTGCGTGGTGATGGTTTTGGCTATGGTGGGATGGCGGTGGTGCTTCTTCGACGAGGGTCTGCAGGACCATGATCTGCTGGAATATGTCGGCGCACCGGCGGGCGGCGCGGTCGAGCGCCCCCGGGGAGAATCCGGCTAGGGCCGCGGCGCCGAGGACGTCGGTCCAGTCTCTGAGGCCCAGGCGGGGCTTGACTGGGTTCGGGTTCGCTGGGGCGGCTTCTTCTCTGTCCGGGTCTTCGACTGACTGGACTTTTTTCGCATTGCGTCTCGTCTTCTGTGGCTTGGGGGCAGAAGCACTATCCTCTCCAGGACTGTCTTCTCGTCCAGGTTCGACGCCGGAGTCCGGCGCTGATACCGGCGCTGGACTCGACTCAGCTCCAGCTTGTGGTTCGGTATCTGCAAAGAAAGGCACCGGTTCCTTCCGTAGTCTGGCGACGCGGATGGTATACTCTCTATCGGTCTCGCCCTCGAGCTTGGGATAATACTTCTTCGGTCTCCCCTGCCTCTTCTTCTTCTTCGCGCCATCAGCAGACGGTTCGGGTTCGGGCGGTGGCGCCGACTCCCTCATCTGCGACGGCTCGCCTGACTTCGGCGGCCGGCCTCGCTTGCGTCCCGAGGGCCGCGAGCGGTCTCTGGACTGTCCGCTGCGCTGCGAGGTATCCGACGCGTCCGACTCGGCGGAATCAGACTGGTACTGCAGCGCTGACTCCTGCGCGTTGTGCAGGACCATGAGCGTCGTGTCCAGCTTGGACATTATGTGTCGCACCGAGGGACGCAGGAGGGCGTAGGAGAGGTCGTCGTCGGTCGCGACGGTGGGCTTCAGGCGCCGCTTCTTAGGCGGCGCGTAGACGTGTGGTGCCTCGCCGCCGGACTCGTCTATGTCCATCCTGTTCTTATTCTCGCTCTCGCTCACGCTCTCGGGCTTGATGGACTTGGACTTAGATTTGGATTTTGATCGGGACCTTGCACGGCTAGATGCAGGCACTGTCTCCGTATCCGAACCTCCATCATCACTGCCCCCCGATTCAGAGTCCACTCCGTCCGCTTCAACCCACGGACGGACATTGAATCTCTCTTTAGCAGACCTCAGGACAGCAGCCGAGATGGTCTCCTCCAGAGCAGTGCTAGGAACATCTCGCACAGCCTTTCGGAAGGTGAACTGCTCGTCGGCGCCATCTGCCCTCTTCATGAACTCTGGCGGCGGGACCTTATTCAAGCGCATCGGCCAGGCGGTCCATGATTTCGGCGGCACCCATGCGTCCTGGGCGATAGGCAGTCCAGTCGCTTTGTTGATGTCCTACAAGAATAGTTAGCTTAGCTTCGGCGCCGTATTGTATGGATCGAACGTGAAAAGTCGCAGTCAATCAACTCCACGTAGTCAATCAATTGTTCTTGGCTCACCTGCTCAGGCACCGGTCCCTGAGTACCGTCCTGTGGTCTCCTGTGTCGCTGCTTGAGCGCGAATGCATTGTATAGATGGACCGAGAGGTCCTGGTTGCGGATCTCGTGGAGCGCGGTGAGCGTGTCGATTTCTGCGCTGTTCAGCTGCTGCCAGGTGGATGGGGGTCCCGCCCAGCGATTTGGTCGCTCGTCATCCTCTTCGTTATAGTCCGAGGACTCGGAATCGGGCATGTAATCATCGGAGTCGTTGGCATGCAGCGCCATGGGTCTTATTAGTTGAGAGGCGTCATGAAATCTGGCGAGTCGATGTCCGAAGGGCTTGTCAGAAGCGGGAATCTAGGTGCGTGGAGGCGCCGTCTGATGGTGGGTTTGCCGTGGCTGAGACGACTGAAAACCGACGAAAACTTTGCTCTTTTCATCCACCACTCTTCTTCGAAAAAGCCATCTGAATTCGTGACCATTCAGACGAATCACTTGTGAGGTGTACGATCAGTCGGCGCATTAAGATGGTCTTTTCAGCGGAAAACATTTCATTGGTATTATAAGCAGATCTACACGGCGCCTCCTGAACCCACTACGCCTTTCCCTTGGCTGTCTTCTTTTCCAGCTTTCTCCTTTTCTCCCGGAGCTTCTGGTCCTCGGTGCTCTTCTTGTTGTTGGTGTACTGCATCTGCTCAAATAGCTTCCGCTTCTTCTTGCTCAGCATTCCCTTAGCTCTCTCGACCTCTTCTTCCTCTTCTTTCGCCTGCTTGGCAAGCTTCTTTCTCGCCTCCAACTTGGCTTTGCTTCGAGGATTCGCGTCAGCCTGCTTGATCGACTTTCCACTTAGTTCAGCCTCAAGCTCTCGCTGTTCTTGTAGCTCAGCAGCTTGTTCTTCATCATCCTCGTCTTCATTGGCATCTTTCTCGTCTTCCGAGAAGCCTCCAAAGTCGTCGCCATCAACCTCATCCTCGTCCTCTTCGTCAGATGGAGCCACATCCATTCCATCTGACAACGCCTTCAGCTTCCTAACAGCAAGGCTGTCATCTGCATCCTCAACGTCTTTGTCTTCTTCGTCCACCTCTTCTTCGCTGTCTTGCAACGCCTCTCCCTCGGGTTCCTGCTCCTCAAGGGGTATTGTCGGATCATAGGCGCCTTGTATAGGCTGGACAAACGGACTCAGATGTGGCGGAAGTTGAGCACCGGGGGCATATTGATCCGGTCTCTTCAATTCCTCGTCATTGATACTGTCCCAAACCCATTGTGGTTGCACGTAGATACGGCCAGGCACTCTTTGGTTTGGTGCAAGCTTCTGGGAGGTCTGGTTGTCCTCCGCATCGCCATCCTCCTCCATAGCAGCCTGGACAACCGGACGATCGACGACTTGGTGAGTAATGGAGGGGTCGAGTTCATTGGTCGTGTAAGCACCTTCTCCCAGCACGGCAGCCCAACCCACCCGTTTGCATCCAAACGAACGGAGTAAGAACTCGAGCGGTTGTCTCGGCGTCTCTCGGGAGAGGAAGAAAGTACAATTTGCGAACAAGGACTCGGGCTCGTTGCCCGCGTAAATGGGTTGCGGTAGGACATCGCCGCCTGGCGCAGCAGGCTCAAACTTGTCAATCGCGTCGGTCGGTCCTTCCTTTTCTGCTTCAGTCTCGTTCTGTTGCCCGTCCACGTCGGTCTCCTTCATCTGCTGAATGAGCTTATCCACCTGCGCCTGGGTCTTCGGGTCCGGGCCGGCTTCGGAATCCCCATTCGTCAATTGCGCCGGTTCGCTTGGGACGGTTGCTGTGTGATTTCCTTCAAGTTTGAATGCGCCTAGTTCGCCAGCCTCATCGTCCTTGGCCTGATCAAACTTGGGCGGATATTTGAGACCGATCGAGGTATACAATCGGAAGTTGATGAAACCAAGGAGTGTCATGTAAAACTCAACGAAGGTACCCATGATTCTGAAATCCACATCACCAACAACCCTCTGGTTGAACTTGTATGGGACAAGCCACAGGATATCCTCGCCCTGAATGTTTGCCTGGTAGTAGATACCCTTTATCGACAGGAAGGACTTGCGCACGCTCTGCGACTTGATCAGGTAGTGTTGGAATTCCAGACATAAACGTTCGCATCGGGCAATCATCTTGGCGGGGACAGTAGACGTGGATGGCAGGTTCGCGAAGAGGAATAGCATGGAAAGACAGTCGTCGAGATCGCGTAGGGCGTCGACGAAGGTCGGGTATCGTTCTCGGATGACATTGTCAAGGGTATACCGCGGCTTGCCCGTCTTGTCTGGTCTGGCGGCATTGCGCTCGAGTCGGCTCGCATCGGTGACGTCTCCGCGACCAAGAGCCCTTGAGATCTTCTTCTCGAGAGTCTTCTGCTCTCTGAACTTGCCAAGTAAAGGCTCATGCAACAGATATTGAACGTCCTTGGCGTAGTAGAAAGTAGTGGAGGCGGTTGAGCTCTTGTTGGCCTTCTTCCTATTTCTCGGCTCTCGTGGGAAGATACTGTTCTCAAGTTAGCATATTCTCACACCCTCCACAAGTGAGGCAATGGCATCGAAGGGGAAATGGTGGTGGAAGAAGAGGCTGTGTCTTACCCTTTCCAGATACATAGCTTTCGAAAGTCGGGAAGACTGATCTGGAGCTTCTTGACGGCCTGGGTTCGGGTGATATAGTTCTTGGCGTTTCCCGAGTCGCCCTTCTTCTTTACTCTGCCCATGGTCGCGATCTGGTTGCCGAACAATTAACAAATTCTCAGGTGTCGGGCAAGCTGGCTGAAGCGTTGTAGGTGTATGGGAACGAGTGGGCTGCCGATTCGGTCTATCAATCGCAGATAAAAGCTTTGGCGGGGCTCGTTCAACTTTTTTTTCTTGCAATCTGAATTGCCACTTTTGACCGCTTTCCGGGGTCCTTATCGTCTACATTACTAGCCCCGAGAGGGCTAGACTCCCCCGATTGCATCTCGCTGGGCCCACATCCAGTGAAGCACCGTGGCAGCCGTGGTGCCGCAGCGGGCAGGCAACTGCAGTGGAGGTGAGCAGTTCGTTCCATTCTGGTGACAGGTGGCAGGTGGCAGTGTCGAAGCCGCCCTCCTGCCCCGAACCTTAAGCATACCCACGAACGACCTCGACTAACCACCACACGCACAACCCCCGAGGCCGACATTGCGCAGGTCTCCTTTCTTGACTCTCCGACGATGGAAGCGCGCTATGAACCACGGTAAAATGCATCTTCAGGAGACAGCTGGTCTCTATGCCACAGCTGCCGCCCTGCGACTTGCGCTCTTCACCTTGTTCCCTGCCCTTCCAGACCTGCTCACTGGCCGTGTCGAGATCTCAACTCCTGTGACGAGCTTTAAGCGATGTAAAGACCGCGCCAACTCTTAGCTATCGGGAGCTAGATACTAATTGATCATGTGGTATAGTACAAGAAGGCTTGTTCCTGTACAATCACAATGTCTCGCCCTACGACGGCGGTGTCTACCACCAGGCCCCTTTACTCCTGCCGCTCTTCTCCCTCCTACCAGACCCGTCTGCGTACCCGATCTTCACATACGTCCTGTACATTATGGTCGACCTGCTGAGTGCCCATGCGCTATACAAGATCGCCGAGTCTGGCGAGGCAGCTTCGTCAAGGCTATTCACCTCGGCGCGAAAGGACAGAAGATGGAGCGGCTACGTCGTTGCTGCCATGTAATACACACCTTCTGCCCAACGTCAACGAGGTTCCTCGACTGACGATGTGCTGGCAGCTTTCTCTTTAACCCTTTCACCATCGCCACATGCTTAGCCCGACCGACGAGCGTCTTCACTACATGCGCCATACTCCACGCCGTAGCGAAGGCGATTTATGGCACCCCCTTTACGGCCATGCTCTCCCTCTCCTTCGCCGCCTACCTGTCCATGTATCCGATCCTCCTCCTTCCGCCATTGGTCTTACTCGCCTACGACCGGCAACATGCGTCGAATAGAATATTGTCTCTCCTGCAGTTTGCAGGTACGAACGTTGCCGCTGCTTCAGTGTCCCTCGGCGCGCTCTTCGCCGTCTCTTACCTCCTGACCGGTTCATGGGAGTTCATGTCTTCAACATACGGCATCCAGCTCACCCTGAACGATCTGACGCCGAATGTGGGACTATGGTGGTATTTCTTCATTGAAATGTTTGACAGTTTCCGCTCATTCTTCCTGGGCGTTTTCTGGTTACACCTGTCATCCTACGTTGGTGGGCTCTCGATTCGAATACGCTCGCAGCCACTAGCGGTGGTCACGCTTCTACTCGGCATATTTGGCATATTCAAGCCGTATCCCAGCGTCTCAGATGCGAGTCTGTTCTTCGCCATGCTGCCGCTATTCCGACACGTATTCCCTTTGATGCGATACAGCTTCCTGACTGCCTCGGTTGTCTTGTACTCGACCTTTCTGGGCCCCGCCTTCTATCACCTGTGGATATATTATGGCAGTGGGAATGCGAATTTTTTCTATGCTATCACCCTCGTGTGGAGCTTGGGACTAAGTCTGCTAGTCAGCGACATGACGTTTGCTGTGCTACGAGATGAGTGGGAAGTTGAAAGACCGGAAATGGTCGGCAAGGAGATCAGGCAGATCTAGATATGCCAACATTGCCGGAAGGACGTGTCTCGCGGCTATGAGCAAACTGCTTTCAGGGAGCTTAACGAAGCCACGAAGTGAAACTTGTGTGTGTATCATGTATCACCATAATAGAAACATATCAACACTTAGAAGTTCATCCCGTGCTTCTGTCTCGTAAAAAGTCAAGTGGAGTAATCCGATCATGATGAATCTGTTGAAAAAAAGGAGCCATGGTTACCATGTCTGGTATTTGATGACCCAGCCAAGGGGCTTCTGTGGAATCTGCTGGTATAAACACTTGTGGGATAGACTAAAGCAATGCAAATGACAATCAAGAAACAAGCGCGGAACAGCCCGCGGAACAACATGGACTGCGGGACAACTTGACCTTGGCCTCATATGAGCCCCTTTTCCGAGTAGTTCATATTCTTACCCTCTTAGAAGATTCCTCGGCTTCTTCACACTGACTGCTTCTTCAGATATGCATCCAGCTACAGCAACTGGTCCATTCACAGAGGGGTCGCCCGGCCATTCCTCTGACCTAGTTGCACTTGCGACTTACAGCATTCCATACAACGGCGCCATAACGGAGCCATGACAGTGCTGGGCTTCACCTGCTTGCAGAGCAATCGCTTGTTGATTCATGACTAGCTTCCACTCGCCTTCTTCCAGTGGCAGGCCTCAGGCTTGTAGGTTTGCGCCGGTCTACGAGATAGCAACCACAGCATGCTGTCAGAGATGAGTCATGGGATCTTGCATATATGTGCTGGGAAATTTCTCGTTCAGATACGCGAGACGAGACGGAAGCATGAACTCAAGTCAAGAGGTTCTTTTAGTTCATTGATTATTACTGATGTTCAGGGGTGAACGGACTACTTATATAAACAGGATACTACACCGCAACACATATTCTTCACTATGGCCGAGCTATACACTTTCGTCCTACTGTATATTGTCCCAAGATCAACGCCATACCAGCCACAATGGGTCGCTCCAGCAGATCACTAAGAGCGAAGAAGCGAGCCCAAGCCTCCTTCCCAGACCCCGACCACGTCTAAACTCCTCTTTGAGAGTAAATGCTTGAGGATAGTTTGTTTGTTTGTTTGTTTGTTTGTTTTGTATTTAACGTGGGGGGTAGCCTCTCAGTAGTGCAAACCACGCCTCCCAGAGCCATTGCATCGCAAGGTTGTAGAGGTGTCAAATTAGATACATTCAGATCCGCGCACGAGCCTATCCTCGCTGTAGCGGTACCAATCTGGAGTGTTCAGATGGTTTTAGTCAATACCCAAGCACGATTCCGTCAGAAAAACCTCCTGCCTAGTGACAAAGCGACCCAGTGAACCTCAGTTCTCTGGTGTACATATCGTTCCAGTAGCCGTTCGATATATGTCGCATTGGTGGGTGGAGTAGGTGTTTGTTATCTGCTGGCGAGGGAAACCACAAGGGGGAAAACCTCGCAGGAGTGGGTATTATAGAGACAAGCTGCTTGGCTATCAGGCTCTGCGATAATGGGGCCTCTCCACTGTCATGTGCTGGTTGTCGACTCGCACAAGCCGGGTCAGAAAGGGGGCCATAGCAGGATTCGAACCCACTTGTTCTCGTCGCCCACCGCACAAACGAGAACACAACCAGGCGCATTTGACCATTGCGCCATACGGCCCATGTTCACCATAGGCTCCGTCTTCAGGCACAGTGTTCATGAAAAGCAAAAGTAAATGAAAAACAGTATTTGCAGTATTTTTCTGCGCGGGTGACTACGGGTCCTTCTATACTAGTACCTGGCAGCGATCTCTGTCGAAACCGGCCACTGTATCCATCTCTCCAATCCATCTCCCTCCTGCTGAGCATTCTCTCTCTTGATCAACATCACCCACGCCATCGTTCGCACTGACCGCTTCTGATTTAATCTGGTTTTCGTTTTAATCGCTCTGTTCTTCGTCTTGTTTGACCCAGATATTCGTGTCATGCTTGTCATTCTTGCCTTTCTTACTGGCAATCACCCGATGAATGACTAGGTTCAATGGATAAACGCAGATTCACATCGCGTGTACCAACAAGAAGAACCGCCCTGGGCCATCTGAACGCTATCACGGCGGAACATAGTGACCCGGACGCACTACACTCGTATCGATCGACTTGGACACACAGACCCCGGATGGTTACTGTCGATTCACAAGCATCCTCTGTGTCCCTCGATGGGGCTCTGCCGCCAGCCTCCTAGATACGCTATCAAGGAACATCAGTGACTTGCAGCTGTGACTCTACTAGCTGTGATGGGATTGGGACTCGTGGTAAGCTCCTCGAACTAGCATGCAACGATGATAATGACACACACTGACATGTGGTTTGATCAATAGCACGTACCGTTGGGGCTTCCGCCCGATTAAGAGACATCGTCAATAGAAAATTACAAACGAGTCGCATTAATGGCCGCACTGCTTTCGGAAATGCGCTTGGCGGTGGGAACACTGGAGCAGAAATCAAAGGGCTGTTCGAGTACAACACGATGACGATGAACTTAGAGCAGCGTAAAGACAAGCAGATGCAGATGGAAGGTCACTTGGTTGAATGGCTGATTTGTTTGGACGTTGTGGGGGCACCGCTTATGACAGCACAGCGCTCCTGGGTCTCTTGTCGGTAGCCTTGGTCAGAACATGTATCTTCGCGCGCGTAGGGATCGCACTATTGACACTCCCCTTGGAGGCAATTCCGTTCTGTAACGTCATTCTGAACACAAGGTTGCCTCCCTCTGAATGGTGCGTGCCAATTACTACTGTGGTGAGACGCCCATCCGTCACGTAGCCGGGCGCGAGAGCGGACTCCAGAGTGCTCGCCTCGAGTGTTGCCGATCACCAACGCCATCATTTCACAGTAAGCCAGCTACATGCACGCCTCGATTGGGTGCCAAGTAGTAGGTTGTCATACTATAACGGGCCTGGTGCACGACGGGCGAGTAGCGAGCACTGACCAAATGCTCAGGAGCTTTTCAATGTAATTTCAAGGGTTGACAGTATTCACGCTGCCATGGGACGTAAAAGAACGTAGACAAAGTGTCATTCAGGACTTACGCGTGGCGCCTAGCTTGAGAGATGACAGATCTCGGCATCGCCCCCGGCTGAAGGATTTCTTACCAGGTAAGGGGCTAACTATATGAGTACCGTGTAGGATGAGTATAGTGCGCCACAGGGGAACCGGAGCGCCCAAAAATAGATGTCATGTTCGGAGGTCCCATATTATCATTTTTTCTCGTCTCATTCGGGATTCCTTCTTGTATTTCGGGGTATTAGGCACCTGGGTCTATACTTGGAGTTCCTACTCGAGAGACGGCGTCTTTCGAAGGAGCACACCTCCCCCGTACTTTATAACTTTCACGACGCACTACGCCGCACTCGCCACTTTCCCCAAGCCTGTCATACGTCAGTGCCACGGTGATCGGTGATTCAAACTATTTCCAACCTGAATTACGTAGACTGATCGGTGTGCAGAGGAAATACTGCGCTCTATATATATAAACATGCAATCATCGGGCGGACGTACAAGTCCACACCCGCCGAGACAGACACTTCCACAACGAAACTACTGATCGCATGCTTTCGACGTTGCCCATACTTGTATCCATATCTAGCACACCATGCGCTTCTCTACTCTCGCCCTGCTAGCCGCCTCGGCTTTCTACACCCACGGCACCATCGTATCTCCACACGTGACCGGAAGGGATCTCCAGGGCGAACCCAACCAGGAAAACGAAGCCCGTGACGATGCGATCTTGCAACGCCACGATGCGGACGATACGTCTTCAACCGGCTCGGGCGCCGGTTCCCGCCCAAGAAATGTACAAGCGCGTCTCGCCAAACGCGGCAAGGAAGACCTCGAACCTTACTCCGGTTGGTGGGGCGATAAAGAGGCCGACCCATCCCTCGGGTATCCGTCTGAGCAGCCAGGGGTAAGAGCCCAGTAGAGGCGCACTCCCGCATTGCGCACAGCTGTGGGAGTGTACACTGACCGCGTGCCTTGTTACACAGCTTTGCGTTGGTGACAAGGTCAATAGTTGCCGTGGGGACTGGGATTACTTGGAACACCCATGCGATGGTGGAGGTCGGGTATGCTGTCTCCTCTGTCCCTTATCCCTATCCCTACCCCTACCCCTACCAATCAACACCATCGAGTGTTTACAGGTACTGATTGATGCGGGACACAGTGCAACGACAGAGTTCCGTTTCTAGTTCGATGCATCATCAAGTTGAAAGCTGACGGAAAGACTAAATGTCCCACACAGTGGGGGCTGCCCTGGCATCATGGATAAAGGGCCTCGACGGCACTGACCGAACATGACGAATTTGCGTCTGGGGGGAGGGGGGGGGGGCTGATGCCCTATAAGGTCGTCATCTCGGATGGTTAGGAAGAACGGTGGAATCACCTTCCCAGCACGGATAAGATGGGCCCTCTCCATACCTCGGCTACATGACATCGAGAGGTGAATCTACTCGAAATTGCACAAGATTGCGACGCTATTTGGCATGCTCTTGAAGCATGTACGATAGTTGTATTAGTGATGTCCTCTGGCCAGATCCAGAGCCTGGCAGAGGTCTCAATCTGTCTTTGGAGCCTAAAATTCTGCTCATCCTTGATCCTTCCGCATATGGCCCAGCTATGTCTTCATCCACGATTCAGATGTCCATGTGTAGTATCGAGCCACGGGGCCCTTCGTATGACTGGGAGACGCACCTACGAGTTACCCAAATTCGCAAGACTTAACTCGTATAAACACTCGGGCATCTTCGTCCACATAATCGGAGACCCCGCTCTTGTATGCTGGTCCGCAACCCAGTTGCTTCAGAAAGTCTCACCACTGTCCATCAGCGCTGGGATTCATCAGGCTATCTAGGGGGCTCGGGCCTCAAAAAACCCATGATCCTTCCCCGCGGAACTGTGAACCAGCTTTCCATCAAGAGAAGTATAGAGTGAATGAATATCTTACATTCGTTGCCGCCGCATCGGAGGCCTTAAACTTCATCTGCTTGCACTCTCTACAGGCCCATTCCGTTCTCCCCCGGGCTTTCAATATTTTCCGACAAAACCTCGCCAGACGATCTCGAGGTCGAGCGCGTATGTTGTTCCCTCATAATCCGTGGTGTACTTGAATTACTCCTCTGAAGACCTACCTGCAAAGCATGCATAATCCTGTCACCCGACTACCGTGGATTTTCCATTCCCGCTCCGGATGAGCCAATGACTACTTATCACCAGAAGAACTCAACGACGCGCTTGGCGTCAATCAAAGAATAATGAGTTAGTCGCTTATTATTTTATCCAATTTTTTGTAGTCATCAGAGGAAGTGTAGGACTGCGGCACGACTTCGTGGATGGTCTGTTGGTTCTGCGGGCAATGCCTGCATAGTGTTGGTTGGTCACCCGCATGTGCATGGATTATTCTGCATCCCCATATAGGATAACTTTTGCCCATCGGGATTTCTTCAAAGCTTCCTCGCTCGCTTTCGTCACGCTCTTCTCGGACCCTGATCTTCCTCCATAACTCTCTTGTTACGAGCAAGACCCTACACCAGGTCTCGGTCTCGTGTAATCTTTTGGTAGCTTGAACACCCAGGTAAACCCAAACACATGATGGCTGCAACAATCCTCATCACAGGTGCCACCGGCCTCGTCGGCTTCCGCATCCTCCTAGCCGCTCTCGCCGCCGGCCACAACGTGCGCTACACAGTCCGGAATGACCCCCAGACGGTCTCTTCAAACCCAGCAGTCAAGAGCCTAGCACCTAGCGACCGCCTCTCTGCTGTTGTCATTCCCGACTTCACTGCTGAGGGAGCCTTCGACCCTGCGCTGGACGGCGTTACCCATATTATCCACGCAGGCTCGCCTGTACCTGTGCCTACCTACGATCCCTCCCCCCAAGTTTATGAACCTACCGTGAAGATCGCGTCCAACCTGCTCGCGTCTGCACTCAAGACTCCCAGCCTTCAACGGGTGGTGATCACATCGTCTTACGTGGTGAACCTCGGCCTCCCCGTCCCACCAACAGCTGCCACCTACGACATCACCCCCGCCGTGCCTTCCGCTGCCACGCGGGTCCCGCTGCCCAGCCCTTTCCCGGAAGTCTTCAGCGGCGTCTTGGAAGCCTACATACTAGCCAAGATGGTCGAGCTGGACAACTCGGACAAGTTGATTCAGACCCGGAGCCCTCACTTCACGATCGCTCACGTGATTCCCGGCTACATCTTCGGCCGCAACGAGCCGGCCCTCGACGCCGGTATGATGCAGGCGCAGAACAGCTCCAACAACTTCCTCATGATGGGCATGGTTGGCGGCGAGCTGCCGTTTCCCATCCACGGCGGCTTCGTCCATCTCGACGACGTCGCTGATATCCATATGCGTGTGGCGTTCCCACCCGAACCCGCGGAGGCGGCAGATGGGATTGCGGACTTTGGTGTCGCTACCCCGGTGGACTATGCGACGATATTCGACATTGTCGAGCGGGCATTCCCGAAAGCTGTTGCGGCGGGGGTATTCAAACGGGGCAAGGTGCCAACGTTATCCGTCGAATACGCGAGTAACGTGCGAGAGCTCCTGGGCAGGGAGCTGAAGAGCTTTGAGAGCGCCGTGGTGGACGTGGCTGGCCAGTATCTGGAGAAGTTGGGCATGGAGAAGGCGTGATGTCCTCGATGCGTTGGTATGGGGTGGCGCGTTAAAGGGTGACATATAGACAAACACAAAGTTGGTTTTGGTGGCAGAAATGCGACCCGTTTCAGCGGGGCCTTCCTCGAGAATCTATGCGTGTGCCCAGGAGCTGTTGATTTTTAAGTGTTTCGAGTACACTCTGGTTTTGCTTATATCTAAAAAGTCCCCCTCGAGAGACGGTATCTCCGGCAGAAAATCCATGTTGCCAGTAGATATTTAGTATTCGGCGCTGTCATTGTCACTGTCGAGCAATATTGTACAAAACTACGGCTGCTAAAAAAATCTCTACGTCACTAATACTCTTACTGTTGGATCCATGCGATTCCAGACTGCAAACCATCTATACCAGGACCCATATGTATGATTAGATAAGATAAGATAGTGGATTGAGAGGGCACTTGGCCAGACCTTCGAGTCCAGCTAGATTCCTCTCAATCCAACCATCAGCAACATCATGACCTTGACCCCATACTCGAGTATTATGATTGATCGTTCAAGCCTGTTCCAACACTTACAGACTTTTCGCCCTCTGCCACAAGCACACACGTGCCCCTTATCACTTCTTCACTGCGAAACCACAACTTTACGAACCTTTGCGAAATTCACGGAACAGGCCAGGCGGCCATAGGTACATCTCTCGATTCGACGTCCCAAGATAACAAGAGCGCCAGCCTCCCGCTCAAAAGCCTGCTAAACCGCTTCGACGGCGCCAGCAAACCTTCAACTAATCGTCGATCCGACGGCACGAGTAGTAGTAGTCCCCCATTCCGTCAAGGAATCGCTGTATTGATATTCACACTCCCAATCCCAATCTTCTGCAAATACCTACCTATTCAGCACCTTCTCAAGGGCGTCCTCTTGCCTGAGTAACTGCCATCTCGGGCAACAAACATGTTTGCCTCTCGACACCCAATTTCAAAGTCCGGTCCTTATAGGAACCCAAGAAAGTAAAATGATTTTCGAAAAATTCAAATAGTGGCGTCGTCTTCCACTCTTGTCATAGTTGACCATCCCCCGTCGCGTGCAAGCCGCATGGGCAGCAGACAATAGTAAGAAATGCGCCTAACAGCGGCTGGAGGGCGTCACGTAGTGAGGGTACTTAAGTGGGAAGCGTTATCCGTACCTGTTCTGTGCGTGGGGATGCGCAAGAGCCCTGTTGGCGACTTACCTACCTATGGGATGAGGTTGCTGGGGAGGATGTCCTGGTCCCGGCCAGCTCGTCCTGCCTCGTCCTCGTCCGACGTGGGTTGAGTCGGGTACTGTTTCCTGGCGTGGTCGGGCAATCGTGTAAAGGGCACATTGGTTGACACTTGGTTGCAAAAGCGTATTTCGAACCAGATCTTCCTAAATCAGAGAAGTCGAAGCTGCCCCTGGATGAGTACTTACGTATACAGGTTTGTTATCTACACAGCCCTTTGTGAGCCTGGTCAACCAACCACATAAATGATAGGCAAGGGACACGATGCGCATTACTCTCGGTTCGTGCTCTCTCTCTCTAGAATGGTCTACTAAGGCGGGACGTTCAGCAGGACTGCGTTGGGGACAGACTTGGGATCCGAAGTAGTAGGTGAAGAGATCAAGCCTGGAGACTAGCGAGTTTCTGAGCACGATAAGGGGAGAACAGGGGCTTACTTACTTGCTTGCACGGGCACATGGTAAAGTTATGAGCTCTATGGTAGACAGGCCGGTGGCTGCCAAAAGTGCCATCCATGAAACAGGATGCTTCGCTTCCTCAGCACAGACAACAGTCATTCATCGTTAAGTCATAAGCAAACGGAGTTAAAACAGAGTGAACTCAAATTCATCAGTGCTATCTCAGTAATTAGACCCCTATGTGACATTATGCTCGGATTATCTATTCGTACAACCCATTATACACAGTATCATCATCTCGCGAGTCGATTCGACTCAACAAATATGAACATGCCTCATGCTGGTAGCGACCCTGGCGCAGGCACAGGCGCAACGTCAACCGACACATCAACATCGCCCTTGTGATACACTGTATCTCCTACAGGCGGAGACGCCTGTGGAGGATCCCAGACAGGTAGTGCGTTAAGCATGGCCCCTATCTCGCCGAACTGATGCAAGTTGGGTTTATCTTCTTTGGTGGGCTCGAAGCGGTGAGTGCTCTCGCCAAAGGGCGTCAGGCCCCTGAACAGCGCTGTAGCACCCAATGCGGCCAGTCCCACGAACGCTCCGCCAACAACGAGACCCAATTGCGTAAGGTCCTTCACATCTTCGCCTGCTTCTGTCCGGATACCGCCTCGACGCCATCTCTTCCAACTGTTCCCTACGCTGGGTACGTTTTCCATGACGCCATCAGAAAAGCTGCCCAGCAGTCCGAGTGCGCCTCTCGGTTGTGCTTGTTGCCATGGCAATGTGTACCCCGTCTTGTATGCGTCCACGGCACCAAGGAAGTCCACTAAGCGGCCATACTTCTTCTCAAGAACGGTCTTCAGGATCGGGTGCGGCGTCTGCACTCGCATCAACGACAGGTAGCCATATGCCAGGAAGTCAAGCGAAGTTGGCTCTCCGTCTCGAAGAAGGAATTTCCCTTGTCCCTCTCCCCGAAGTTGATCTAGCGTCGAGTAGAAGTCGTCTGCTAGATACTGGAAGCGGATGGCAGCCGTCTGTTCAGGCTGAAACGTCTTGCTCGGGCCTAGGGTCTGACGGAGACGAAGGAACCCGGTAGAGGTGGTTTCCGCCGCACCCTGGGAGGACGATTCCTCAGCATCTACCTCGGCAGCCAGGTAGCCCATGCCGAGGTGTTCGGCCTTCTCAACGGCAGCAGCGCGGATAGCCGTTGGTACCGTCCATGTTAGCGGGAAGGGAAGCACCGTTGCATAGGCGGGGCGCGTGATCTCAACCCAGGCTTTCGGTGAGGCATAAAGCGACAAGGCTAGCAGACCAGACCCGCGAGCGGTAAGGTAAGAGGAGTAGGCCACGAGGTCTGCCCTTTGCTGCGGTGTGAGGTCATGGTCGATGAGCAGATTGGTTTCACCTCCTGCATGTTGCTTTAGGTACCCGACTATGTTTGCGTATCCTGATGTCCAGGTACCTTTATGGTACAAGGCAGGCAGCACGTCTAGTGAGACCTATCAGCCATCAATGCTCAGGGGGGCGGGGTTGGATGGGGCCCCTAGTATGGGAATTAGGGATGGGGATTGATTTGAGGATGGATATATGCTTACTATCCGGGCTGAGTGAAGCGTCATTGCTGGCGATCAGTGTCCAGTTCTCGCTCGAGAGCGCACAGCGGAAGCAAGCAATGGCAGCTAAACACTCAGGGTCGATGGAGTCAAGGCCGAACGCCGGGCCCCAAACATGAAGCTCCAAAGCCATGCTGGAGGGGACGGCTTGAACACGGCGTTTGGGCGATGTCAATAGAGCCTTGCAGCGAAGGGCGGTGAAGACTCAAGCTCCGCCTGACCTCTTTGATATTCCTTCTCAACGTGGAAAAGGTCGATATCGCAGGCGATTGGTCGACGGCGAACTAGGCTCTAGCACGCGGCTGTGATAGTGGCGAAAAGGGGAAAGGGACAAGGGCGAGCAACGGAGCCGAGCCGACTTTCACTTTAACGAGTCAAGACACCTGCGGACGAATGAGGAGCCACGGACGGGCAGTCGGACAGTCGGCGAAGTCGGTCCAGTCTTCAAGGAATGTGATTCGAAGATCTTCATCAACCTGCTGCAGACTCAGACTAGGGATGGCGGAGTGCGGAAAATCTTCCCCTGGTTTGGCCCGGCGTGCGGTTTCAGCCTTTCAGGGTGCGCGGGTCCACGTGGTGATAAGCCGCCAAGTTCTTGACGTCAGGGATGGGTGACAGGTGATCAGTCATCACATTCACAGTGATCATGCTCTCGGTCTCTCTGCGACATCTTATTATTATTGGAATTACTACGACAGTGACGAGCTGTCAGATCACAAGGTAGCCAGCAGGTGAAGAATGGAGGCAGGTAGGTATGTACCTAACTCTGTACGTAGATTTGACAGCCTGACAGCTCCGACAGAGGGGTGGCAGGTGCGCAGCAGCTGATACGACTCCGCATTTGAATGCGAGATTTGGGGATGGTATGGGGTCGATTTCTCCAACGTCTTCCCTCTCCCTCCCCCTCTGCCCTTGACGATCAAGGAGGTGGCAAAAACCACAGTTGCCAATTTCGGATTTCACCTGGCATGCAATTCCCAAATAGCATGCGTTACTCAGACTTGGATCGCCGCATCGCGTCGTCGCATGGTCGCAGCACTAGATCCGGAACGGCTTGCGACAATTCGGCCAGTCCCAGAGCTCCGGCACTAATGAATGAAGATCCCAACTTTGAAGTTGCAGCAGATTGATGATGACGGAGAATAGATAGACAGATCAATGGAGCCATAATAATAAATCATCGGACGATCAATATGGCTGCATGCCTGGTTTCATCGGCCTCGCCCGCCAATCTCGAAGAATTGCCATGCCGTTTTGAGATAACTCGGATGAAACGGTAACAACAGGTCACCCACAGTCTGTTCAATCCCGCAGGGTGGACAGACAGACGTCCAGATCACATGCCACTCCTCGCAGCCCCAAGGAGTCTCGACAGGCTCAAAACTCGGACATAATACATCGTACAATATACCCTAAACTCGAAGTGGGATCAGAACACCCGTCGCGCAGGCACGAAATACGGTTGTCCTGTCCAATACGACTTTCAAACTCACGACGTCGATGCATGCATATGAGGTCGTACAGCCCCGCGCCGTCCCTCCTCCCATTACTTGTTAGGTCTTTAAGCGATTTGACCCACTTTTCGATCGCAGGCTCCTTATAGGTCAGGGGCTTTAATTACGACCTATATTATAATTTGCTTTAAAATAAGTATATATCTGTTTTAATAGCATTATTAAGAAAATTACATTACCGGCATTTATATTAATAGCTTTAATAACTAAACATTAATCATTTAAGGCTTATTCTTTTAAAGAAAAAAGATAACGCGTTAAAAACTCGCTTTAACCCCAGGATATTATCCTTAAATGCTTATAATAACGTAGGTCACAAGCGAGCGGCAATTACAAGCGAACGGCAACTTTTCACCAATCTTCTAACCAACATGTCAAATAACTCGACCACAACGCATTTAATTCAATCTAATCAATCGGATTCTTCTTCTTCAGACGTTTCTATCTTTATTGTACAAGTTTGCGCATTATGGCCAGTGTTGCCGCAAACGCCACAACGTCGCTCACGCGCTGCCGCCCTCCTCGGACGACGACTACCTTCACCCATTTCCTGTCTTGCCAGCTCACCACCATCCTTTACAGCCTGGAGACCTACTGCATCTTCAACAGAAAGTACTCCTCCTTTCACTAGACGTTTGTTTTTTGTCCTCCGGCGTTTACTTAGTAGGTGATTGGCCTCCTCTAGCTCGCGGACCCGGGAATCAACCAAAGCGACCTTGTGCATAAGACCGTATGTAGCCTTTGAAAACGAGCTCAATACATCAATTATTGATGTAGGTGAGCTTCCCTGGTGGTTTCTGACTCGGTTTCGGATATAAACCGATTGGTTTATTGCTTCGTTAATGGTGGTAGGCGTCTTCGAAGTCCAAGTAGTGGGTGGCAGATTAGGGTCTGGCGACGGTGTTCGTATGACAGCGACAGCATCCAGCTTTGAAATGACACTTTCTGGGTCAAAAGGAACAAGCCCATTGGCACTGAAACCTGCTTGAATGTTCCCTGGCGTCATAGCAGCGTTGTGTGCTTCACAAAATGCTGCAAGGAAGTCCTCTTTCGAAACATGGGTTATATGACGCCGCATGAGATCCTCAATCATGCGACCGTACGCTCGTTTGAGCGGGCTAAAACAACTGACATCTAAAGGCTGGAGCCTGTGTGACGAGTGGGCAGGCATACAAAGGGTAATAATACTGTTGTTCTGGCAATATCTCTCAAAGATCTGGGAATGGTGGCTTTCGTGACCATCTAGGATGAGGAGGCGTTTACCGGCAGTCATACGCGGTCTGGTATACTTGTCGAAATGCTGAATCCATTCCAACCCAATCTCGTTCGTAGTCCACCCATTATCGGACACGGCCACCTTCCAATCGCGTGGTAATGTTGTGTCGCGATACCATGACGCGAGGTGGGTTTTGCCCTGTAGAATGATGAACGGCGGGACCACCCAACCATCAGCATTGACAGCAGAAATTGCTGTAGACCATTCCCTGTTGCCTTGCTGGGCTTGTCTAGGCCTACCACGTCTTTCGGCGCTTGTAATGACCATGCCGGACCCAATAATACCCATCATAAACCCAGTCTCGTCGAAGTTGTAAATATCCGCGTCTTGGATACCATGTTTCGCGATTGCCGCCGCAACTTGGCGAAACCACGCGCGATACGCGTCCGGATCTTCGTTCAAGACCCTCTTGTAGTCCATCCTCCGATAAAAACGCGTCCGGAGGCCTGGTGTACGTTTGATGAAGTTTGCCGTCCAGTTCTTTCCAACGTGTCCAGCCCCGCGTGCCGCCAACAATTGATTTGCCATATCTTCAACATAAGTGTACCGGGGCGGAAATGCTCGCGCATCCAGGTCGATTATGAAGGAACAAATGGCATTCTCTTCAGAAACCGTAAGTTTCAAAGAATTAGGCATGCTATCGCGTCGTGATGGTTGGCCGGCGATTCTAGCCTTCAAGGTATTGTATGGGACATGGAAAGTCTTAGAAAGCTTGCCAATGGTAATATGAGGGTCGCGTCGCTTAGCTTGGACAGCAAGCTGTAAGTCTGATTCGCTATAACGCAATGCCATTATTGTTGGTTGATCAATTAGGAGCCTTGATTGAAAGGTTGGGTGGCTGGTGAAAAGTTGCCGCTCGCTTGTAATTGCCGCTCGCTTGTGACCTACGTTAGTAAATTTTTGTACAATCATATTTAAATCGTTTTAATAGTAAGTTATTATCAGAAAAGTTAAAATTTAATAGTTGATTTTTCCGATTTTACGTTTAATTATTTTTATCTTTTATTTTTAATTTAAAATTATTAAATCTCGCAATGTTATCCCGTGGCAATAATGCCTTTAATTGCTTTATTATAAACTTGAAAATCTTGTTGTTTTTAAAACTATAACAAATAAACTTCGTTATCGTAAAATCAAATAAAAGTAGCTATTTCATTATAAAAAAGGCTTATATGATGTTTATAACTAAAAACTTTACATCGTAGACGTTTAATTGAGAGGCGTAAAGCTTATAAAAGAATGTAATAATTATAACGCGTTATTATAAAAAGAAAAGAAAACTAACTTTTTATATTTAAATGAACTTTTATATATTTATTAACTTTAGAGCTCTTCATAAAAAGCTTATTAAAACAATTAATTAGCTAATAAAAGTAAATAAACGTAAACTAATAACTTATAGAACTTAAGCGTAACGGTATATATAATGTTACGATAATACATTTTATTAACTTAAGATTAAGGTTTTATTTATTTATTATTATTACTTATAATAAGGATATTTTTAAAGGTTGGCGGATTCAGGGGGCTGCACTGCGGTGTGCTGCTGACTAGTCACCTGACTAGTCATATGACACGTGTTGGTTGTCATGACTAGCACCTTGACTGGTACGCTGACTCAGAAAAGGATGGTCAGGAGCATCTTCTCCAGCATGACCAGATGTGTTCAATAGCTGTAGCTGCCACCCAATGTGACAGACTTGAATATGAAAACAACGATTGCAGCTACCGCACAAGACCACCGGCTTGTCAACCTTTTGTAATCTGACAAAGATACTTTAAACGTATTTTAATATTAAATCGTATTTTAGTATTAAATATAAATATAATATTACGGTTAAGAATATTTAAAACGGTAACAAGTTAAGATTTTATTACAAAATATTAATTATGGGATTATGTTTTTAAACTTATATCGAAGTATTTTCCTTTACGATAAAAAACCTAAAATTTCGTACCTTTATTATTACTATAAAAGCTATGTCAGCACGTACTCAGACTTTTTTATTATCAAGTAAAATATTGAAAAAGAGCATTTAAATAATCGTTTAAAAAATAAAACGTACTTAATAATAAGTTCTTTTAATTATATTAACGATTAGTTAGCATTTAATTAGCTCGATTATTAAGAAAAAGTACAACAGTTAAAAGATCTTATCAAAAAATATATGTTACTATTAAATGATTACGGCAGTTTTTAAATTATTTAATGTTGTTAACGTTATAAAAAGACTAATATAATCTCATTTTTAGTATTAACTTATACTATTAATGAGTTATAATTGTTAAATATAAGCATCTTTTAAATATATAAGAAATATTATCAAATATATATTTAAAAGCGGACGATTTAATAAGAATTTTATAATAAATCTACCCATTTTGTTAGATTATATAGGATCTAAAAGTAAAAGATAAAAAACATCTTAAAAGAGTTTAAAGACTTAAAGCTATATTTATATAACTTTAACAAGGTTATCAATAAAATAGAAGACTTATTATCGTTAACTTTAAATTTAAATGCTTCAAAAGATCGATTTAATTATATTGAGAACTAAGAAAAGCAAGTAAGAGATCTTTCACTCAAATTACATGAGCTTTTTAACTAAAACAAGTAATAAATACTGTCTTATTAAAATAATTGTAAGAAGAACGACGATAATTTGTCGATAAATACTAGCAGTAAAACCGTACAAAAAAACCAATTTATAACTTAAAATACCTTTTAAAAACTAAAATAAAGCGCTTACTTTCAAGTTAATAATAAAAAAGATTGAAGACTGTAAAAACTACATCAACAGTTATTATAAAGAGTTAATCATAATTAAAAAACCTATTAACTTGATTATTAAATATATTCAAAAAAGGCAAGCAAAGCTTTTTATATATTAACGTTATGAGTTAATTTTTCGAAAATAATATAAAAAGGATTTTTCTTGTTATTATTATAAAACGTTATAACTGTTATGAACCAACGAACAATACGGCCTGATAGCAGGCCCAGAGAGGACGATTAGAAACAGGTTGACCAGAGAGTGTGATGCTGATCAGTGGAGAGATCGGAGCAACAGAGCAACGATACATAGATCACGTGACCAGCAGAACCTGGGTCACATGACTAAGAATTTGGATCACTGGATCACCGTGGTGATCCAGTGAGCAGGATCACCTTGGATCATTGGTGATCCAGGGTGAGCCACCTAATCAGTGAGTGAGAGATTGGATATATAAGGACAGACATTTCCTAACCAGATAGATAGACAGTTTCTACCTCAGTGATCAATCTAAGCATCTTAGCCACCCCTAAGGTGGGAAAAATCTCCTAACGACTCGACTACACAGTGAACCCAGTTCAGACCAAGCCCCAGCATCTGAGTGTCTTCTAGTTGACAGAAGCCTCTATCGTCCTCTACGTTGACTTACCTCAGAATATAAACCCTGTAGAACCCTTTAGCCTTATAAGTTAGACGGCTCGTCACAATAACTAAGTTTATACAAATGAACCGCAATATTATAAAATTTAAACTTATAAAAGTTAATAACAAACGCCATTATAAAATTATTAACAAATTGAATCGATAACTACTAAACTTAAAAAAGATGAACAATATAAAAAATTTGTTATAAAAAAGAATACTTTTCGTTAATAATCAATAAGATTTGAACCAAACTTAAAAAATAGATAAAACCCCTAAAAAGTTAAATTATGTACATTTAACATTAAAACCTGAACTATTTAAACAAAATAAAACCGTTATTATTAGATAAAATAAAAATTAGGAGTAAATTTTGCATTAATACTTTATTAAACGTTGAAAGCGTTGTAATATTTACTTTAACAAGCGCCCATTAATTATTAAAAATACTCGATTAAAACATTGACTTATTATCACGATTTTGTAAATGTATTGCAAGGATACAAGGACCCTTATTAACTATTGACATATAACGAACTCTGGTTCAAGAAAAAGAAAGATCTGGAGATGCACCCAAATTGGTGTGCAGCTAGATGTGGGCAGTCGTCCCCCACCAGACCCACCAGGGCATAGATCAACCTATCGTCTGATCAGTTACATGCTCATTCACGTGACCCGGAAACTATAGGGACCATCGCTAGACCTAATGGATGGTGGAGCCATCACACTTATTTAAAATATTCGGCTTAATATATAACAGGTTTGTTTTAAAAAAACTCATTAAAGCTGCTAACACTATAAATTCTTAAGCTTAATTTAATTAAAAGTATTATCACTACTTTTATAACTAATAAACCAATTTTTTTCGATTCAAGATTTAAAACCTTTGCTTATTATTTTAAATTAACTTTTACTAATCCCTATAAATGATAATAAAACGTTAATAATAATAATAATAATAATAATAATAATAATAATAATAATAATAATAATAATAATAATAATAATAATAATAATAATAATAATAATAATAATAATAATAATAATAATAATAATAATAATAATAATAATAATAATAATAATAATAATAATAATAATAATAATAATAATAATAATAATAATAATAATAATAATAATAATAATAATAATAATAATAATAATAATAATAATAATAATAATAATAATAATAATAATAATAATAATAATAATAATAATAATAATAATAATATAGTGCCCTTAGGTGAAGTACCCACTAGGAGGCTGTCAAAGGAACAGTGGATCCACCCTGGCATGGTGCAGTATGGTATTTAGCTGTAGATTAGCCCTGCCGAGCATACTTGAGAATGACAACAACATTTGCAGCGACCGCTCACACCTTCTAAGCTTGTGACCCTTCTAGAATCTCACATATAGGTTGTAATTAAAGTTCCTAAATTATAAGTAGCTTTCAATTATAAAATAGGTTAAGTCGCTTAAAGGCTTAACTAGTGGATTTACCGTCGGTCGTTTACACCCCGGCCTGTGCGGAGTATTTGTTGAATACACGGATGTTGATTGATTCTATTGATTGTTCTGCTCTGCGTGCATAGATTGATCATCTGTCTTCTTGGTGGGTCAGATGCCCTGTGCGTCTCTGCCCCACGGAAGATCTTCCGGTGTCTATCTCCGGCTCCCATTCAACACATTCGTGCTAGTATCTAACAGTATCCACTGCTTTGCACCACTAACAAGGCTTTCAGAGTTTAGTTATGTATGACGCAACCTGTTTGTCGTACCTGACCTATTAAAAATAAAATTCTACCGCATACCGTGTGCCTGGCTAGCGAGCGTTGAACACACGCCGGTTTCTGCATCCATCGGATGAAACCCCTTTAACCGTCATTTTAGCGCGCGTGTCCGGCTCCAAGCCAGCGGAAAGCTTGAGTCCCAGGCGACCAGTACTGCCAGGTTTGTTTCGTTCCCCGGCGCCGCGACTGGGACCGAGGTCCCGAGAAGAGGAGCCGAGAGCGAGCAGCCTATCTTATGTATGACTATCACGAGTCGCGGCCCGCGAGAGAGAGGTGTTTCAAACCTCGAAAAACTTGCGATTGGCCGTGTAGATCACGATGTGGCTAGAGAAGCCGCCTCCAGGTCCGCTGTGCCGGCGCCGTTAGGTCGGGTTACATAGGTAGCCGACTGGTAGGTGTTAGGAGTTTAGGAGTTGTCACCTACCTAGGTACTCGTCGGTCCGTCTACGGGTAGGAGCAACCTCCGGCGCAATGATGATAATGATGATAATGATAGAGCCATCCACGATCTCCGCATATCGCGAAGCCGATGCCAATACTCCCTCTGCAGTAGTTCGCCCGCCCCCTTTTCGCTGTCAGACCAGCATGCATGATGATCAGTATGCATCTGTCATCCCATAATCTGCCATCCGCCGTCTCTGCTGTAATTCCTACAGTATGTATCCCAGAGGCGCGGTTCATCCTGCCAGCACTGCCCACGCACGGTGCATGTCCCAGATATGCATGAATCGTTAAGTACCAACGCAAATCCGATCTCCTGGTAGATACCTACCTAGGTCGTAATAAGCCCGCGCTACCTACGCGTGAATCATGATGTAAGAGTTTAGGCTTAGACGTTGACTCTCTAGTCTCTACATGTACCTCACCTCCCCGAGAGCCTCGCCAAGCACGGCACGGCACATCTATGAACTTGCCCGGTAGTAGTGTATTGTATTGTAGTAGTAGTGTAATTATAATAGGTGTCGCAAAGTGTTTAGTCCGATCGCATCAGTTCCCCATCCTCCTTCTCCTTCTCCTTCTCCCCCTATCCGCGTATGGTAGCGCGAACTAGGTCAAGTCGGTGACTCTGGGTCATTCGCACCTCTCGTTCGCGGTTTCTTCAGACTTGACTGGCTTCTTGTCCCTGGTGTCTGTCGTTTGTTCTGCTCTGCTCGGTCTCCTAGATAATATGTACGGGATGACTTGCTTGCATGCAGGGTGCAGGAGAGGAGGGATTCGACTGTGGTGTTGTCGGGCAGGACGGAATGTTAGTCATCATCGAGCCAAGATCAAGATCAGGTAAGGCAATATAAGCCAAACGAGCAGGGAATGGAGGTGAGCAAATCGCAATAGAAAGTAACCAAGAAAGTCAAGTTGTAGATGGTAATAAACGTAGTTGTTCATATCAATCCTAGGACTCATCAGTGTCCCTGCCTCCTAGTCCCAGATCCTCGTAAATATCTGTCCTGTCCTGTCCTGTCCTGTCCTGTACTCTCCAAATGGGGTATCCTGCGCACGCGTGGCCATTTCTTTGCAGAAGACGCTCTGCCAATGCTAATTCTCTAAGTGTACAAGTGTGTGTCTGATGGCGTTGTTCGTCGTCAGATGATGGTGGTTCCCCTGAACACCCCTTTGCCCAGTCGTATGCCAAAGAAAACTGATCCTTGCTCCCAATGAAAAGCAGATATCCCGTTCCCATGTGTCGCGGTGGCCGTTGTTGACCAACCGACCAATATTAAAATGTTCTCGTATCCAGGTAATAGTACAGTAGGTCATGCGCCAATGCGCAATGACCAAGAAGGAGGATGTACGAGTCCCGTCGAGCCAGCTCTCAGGTGCGGGCATATCGATGTGTGGTGTGGTGTGATGTATGGTGTTTGGCCGATGCATCGAATATTATGGTAGGCGGTGATGAAATTGCGCTTCGTGTCGAGGCCGTGGTGGTGGCGTTGGCAGGGTCGGGTTGTACAAGACCGCTGCAGTGTTCCGCGATGGGAGGTTGGGAGTTCGCGCAAGCACCCGTCGGTCCATTGGATGCAATTGGTCGTAGATGTCAATGTGGTAGTAGTGGCGCGCCGGCATGGGTACTCGAAGCATATGCAATGCAGTAGGACTGCTTGCTGCAATTACGTGCATGTGGCTCGAATGCGCGCACCGCCGGAAGCAGAGAAATGGTGTAGACGGGATACTGTGACTCCAATTCGGATGATCGTCGTCTGATCATCAGCTGTTGTGCTGGCTGCCTCAATCCTCACCCCGGCGCCCCCGAGGGAGTAATCTCCTTCATGCTGTTTCATCGTGTAACGGTAGACCGTGGACGCGTCGAACGATTCGTTTCGACTGTCGTCATCATCTCGAAACCTGGTTTAGCCACTCTTGGGTAGAGGAGGCAGAGGTCGGCTGGGCGGGGGACCCGGGCAGGGTGGCAGCTGCGATGGGCGCTGCGAAGGCATCTCGTATGAATGCATTGAAGCCAGTTTGACGGTTGGATGTGGTAGGGCTTGGAGCCGCGAGTAGTAGTTGTTAGATGAGCAGGAAGAACTTCTGCTGCTATAGTCTGCGAGGGCAAGTGCTCGTATAGTCGTAGTTCTAGTCGTAGTGTGCGAGTAGAGTAGTAGGTGTGGTAGTGGTAGTGGTTGAAGTCTTGAGTAGAGTCTCTCGGAGGATGAGCTTCGGTATTATATGGCAGAGGGATTCTCGGTGATAGTTATTAGACTGGTGAACTAGAAGCGGCAGATAATTGGAGTGGAGGGAGAGGCTGGCCTTATGTATGTGTATAGGTAGCCGGCAGTGATAGTCATCTCGCTCTCCCCTTGGCCGGGATGCCGTTCATCATGGGAGTGGATGAGTGAATGAGATTCCTCGCGTTTGTAGCTAGAGGTACATGTGCCCTGGTGCTGTACACCGCCAGAACGCCAGTACCGAGTACATGGTCAGGCTAGCACCGGCTAGCATGGTGCCATCATTATTACGCTGATGTATCCGTGGGGACTGCGTATCTGGGTACCTCGGTCCTGTCGGACAGACAGGGTTCGCGCAAGTTACCAAAATAATTCCCCCAAACGACCAGAGGCCACAGTGACGCAGCCAGGTACGACAGGCCAGCGACCCACTTTGGGGTCTGCTGCAGCTGAGGGTGAGCTGGACCGGGAGGTACGGAGATACGGGGGCACAGTGTACATCGGTAGGTACTGCAATATGCAAGGCAAAGTGGTGTGGGTCTTGGCTCTGGTGCCACACTCTGAATGGAAGAAAATGAAACAAGCATATCCCCTTCGCCCCCTCCTGCCCCTGTCGATGTCATCTAGGCCCCTGTCAGGCTGTCGGACCATCGGCTGGGCGTCGATGTACTGTACATGGCGCGCATAGGACGGGGACTTTGCACATTTTCATGAGATTGCAATATGAGCCAGGACTGCCCTAAAATGGTGTCCGCTCCAAACACCATTTGGTCAATGGTACCAGCCTCGCCAGGAGAAACCCTCCTTTGACCGCCATGAGAACCGTGAGCGAGCATTGCCTGGGTCGCTGGGGTTTGCTGGCAGCACCTCGGCCGACTACCTCTACGTCTGAACATCATCATGTCCACCGAAGAGAAGACTCATGGAAGCAATGGAATGATGACGGGGATGTTCACATGTTTCCACCGCGTCTGGCTTTGTGGTCCCATACACGACGCATAGACGGGCAGCCAGCCGAACAGCATCAATTAGCGATTGACAATTTCCTGTCGCCCGCGGGCTGTGTCTGTGCGTCTGTTCATCAATGACCCGGCATAGGGGGAGTGGAGCTCTCATTACGGTTGACGCTATTAAGGTACAGCACCTCTTATGCGCCATCACGGGGTTTTGCGGCGACGAGAGGAAGAATTTGATTTTGGCGTTAATGAGCTGAAGCGCGGTTCAGGAGATGGGAAATTATTACGAGCCCATACTCATAGACGCGTTCCAGAATCAATTTGGAAACGGGAAGTATGAGTCAAGTAGAGGTGCGAGTCGCAATGCCAATGCAGCAGTAATAACCTTGAAGTGGTGGTGTTGCGGCGTTTCCGCATCCAAGCCATAGGTAATGAAACATTGATGTCGTGCGTTCAGTGGCATCTCCCAATTCATCAGTGTCCTGGCCTGCCGAGAGTGTATCCATACACATGCACACCGCAGACAGACCGCACACTCGTGGCATCGTCGCATTGTACAGTAGCATCGCGCTTCCATCCACATGCGTGCCTGGCACGACATGGGGAGAAATGAACGGCTCATCGTGCGAGCATGCAAGGGGAGGAGGTCAGCTGGTCTGCAAACCTGCAAACCTGCGAACCTGCAAACGCGGGACAGCCTGTACTTCTGCGAGCCTTTGCACGCCAACATTCCAGCCTTATATTATTATCATTATCGTTATTACCTGACGAGTATGCGGTCCAGAAGGTCACATGTGCTAGTTCGGCTCAAACACCAGACTTGGCAATCTGCAGGCACTTCAAATAAAACATTGAAGTTAAGAACCAAATGAAGCAATGCCGTACCTTAGTCACGCCAAGCCGGCCATCTGCGGGTGCGGCTTGGCCATCGTGGCACCGTGACTGGCGATCTTTCCCCAAGCGCCACATGAAGTTCAAGAACTATGACAAGAAAAACAAACCTCATATCTCCAATGGGATGATCTACTCTATCTTCAAGACCGGCCAGCAGGCTGCAGCTCATGTCTTACTACTCTCATTTCGGATCGAATCATGCCACGAAAGGAGACCTGCTTTTGCGTGCCTGATGCCCTGATCCCGGGCGCCGACAACGTTGATATGTGCGCCCAACACCTTGCAGATGCATCATTGGCTGAGGGTTGTTCAGCCCCAGGATATCACGGTCACACTTCTCGCAAACATGCCGACAATCGCATCTTCCAAGGCTCCCATGTCCTGAGTGCTGAGTGCTGATTCAGCTACTAATATCACTTTGATGTCATTGATCCCTCTCCGGCGACCACCATGGATGTATTGGCCCCGGCATCCCGAGCAAGTTTATCGCAGCCTCGTCTCAAAACGATAGTGCATCCATCGAGCATCCGAACAAGCGTGCCTTTGGCCCCGGCAGCAGGGAGGGGGCTGGGGGCCGCGACCATCCGGCCATCAGGCGCAAAGTGTGAGCAAACAACTTGTTGATACTTCGGCCCCCAGATATCGATGTCCAAAGCAGGTCGCTGCAGACTGCAGGACAAGCAGGCGCCGGCCCCATCAAGAAATCATGCCAAACAGAAATCGACTGGATGGAGATCGTCAACGTTCGCGCACTGGCGATCCTTGGCCTGGCGGCCACGAGGCCGTGATGAGTGACTCACAATGAGTTGGCCTTTTGAGGAAGTTTTGATTCCACTCGCATACCCTCACCTCACCGAGCGTCCCAACAGGCCGACAACCAGGTTTGTCACCGACAATCACCCGGGCCTGCCAGGCAGCACTGCAGCAGGACTTGCTGACAGCGGGCCAGGGTGCGAACATCGGAAGAGTCGGGTTCTGCAACACAAGTCCTGCTCGGCGACTGACACGGTGTCAAATGCCGCCAAGGACGTCTCCATTTAGGGCTGATAGAAGATGCGATTTTGTGAGTTGTGCACATGGGATGGTTGATACCGAGGTACAGTACATACCTACCGTACCTCTGTGCGAAGAATACGTGGCCCCTGTCAACATGATCGAGCGTGTCGTCGCCAGCTTGCAGTCCTCACCGCTTCGGGACTAATAATAACGGGATACCTGAAGCAAGGCTGAGATGGTACAGCACTTTGAATACACCGGACTCTGCATATGGTGTCCCCTGAGGAAACTGGCGAGGGCGGAGCACCGTCGAGTAAATTCGGGTTTTGAGACGCACCACTCGCAGGACATCTCGAAACTTTGTCTTGCCTTCTTCCCAGACCCTCTCCTCTCTTCTTCGGGTGAGGCTGGCTTGTTGATGATGATCAATATGAGGATCTTTTTTATCTGACTGACTCAAGAGTCCGGCAGACCGGATACCGAGCAGGCAGCACCCTCGCAGCCATCCTCACCCCTGTCATCACGAACATTGTTGAGGCGTGAGAAAAAAAAAGTCTCCATCAACAGCCCAGCAGGACTTTCTCGGTCCCAAAGCCTTGTTTGCCTTCCTGTCGCATCTGTGGTCAGACCTGTCACTCCATCCCATCACGATTCACGGGCAATGAAGTCATATCTGGACCCTGATTACCGAGAGAACGATACCAAGTGGAGATGCTCATCTCCCACGCGCCGTCATCGCACACAAACTCCCGTGCCATCTCCTCGTGCGTGTCCGAATGTTTCTCCTGATTATTAGTCGAAAATCAGAATACGGGGATCGACGTCTAATAATGGGATGGCTCTGAGGCTTTCCAGGGACAACCTGGACAGGCCCGGAATCGGTGGATCCTCAGCCAGCTAAGCCACCTTTGCTAACTCCAGCGACGAGGACCGAGTCCCGACAAGGTCGCGACTTGTTTGGAGCGCACAGATCCATTGTGGGAAGATTTCCTGCCTTCTAGAAAAATTCCAAACCTTCTAGCGCACCCGAAGCCTCTCTTCGCTTCTCGGTCTGTCGGTCCACGACCTCAAGGCCCCATCGTCCCAACCGATCTCCATCAACTCCACCGAGCTCATCTCGCATTTGGCTCGCCAAAGTACAGTACATGCAAACCTCTGGTCGTTAGGCTAGCGTTTCAGGACTGCTCCAGCGGTGGTTTTCCCTCCGACCTCGTCGTCACCTGTGACCTTGGACTGATTACAAATCAGCTCTCAGCTCTGTGCGAGGTGTAGCCCAGCATCAATCTCACCGTAGGGTCGCTCCCAAGACAGGATTATTGGCCAACCAACCAGCCCAGACTGCCGGGGTAGAGGACTTGTCACGAGGTGTGACTGTGTGACTGTCGTCCGTGCCGCCCCTGGGCGTGCGTTTCCGGTTACCGAATCGTGGAAAAGTCTCCAGCAGATCGCAAGAATCGCCATGAGAAAAAAGGAACAAGTCGCAGCAAATGTCATCTGATGTATGTCTGACACATGTGCCACACCCCTGGCACCGTTCGGTAGTTCGCGTCCCAGGCGTACCAATCTCCTGGGTCTCGTACCTCGATCATTTCGGTGGGACAACGCGAAAAAAAACCAGATCCTTCTCATCGACGGTTCGTTCACGCGACCTTTTATTATCCTGGTCGGTGGTGGCTTGCTTTTCATGTGACACACTATCACTGCGAGGACAAGGCCAGCCTGATCTGCCCAGGCATGCCCAGGATTATGGCTGATGCTGTATGCCTGGTG